CTTCAGTCACTCACCCAAAGCTTGCAGGGGTTTGATCAAACACAGCTGCCAGTCAGTCCATTTCAGGCAACAGCCTGCAGGCACCCTGCGCTGCTCTCACACTCACTGCGGATTGTCTGGGCTACCGAACAAATCATGTCTGCCAGCTGATCCACGCCATTCGCCTGAAATGAACAGTGCGACGAATAGTGTCGGAGATAGCCTAACATGACAATTGATGATTGATGCTACTAAGTGAGTCAGTTCAAATCTGAGTCGTCTAAGTTGCTCAAACGGACTAACTCATGCGTCAGGGATCCCCAACAAGATGTTGTGTGCAAAGCAGTCCATGGTCAGGCCTGGCGACGGAAAGTAAACTGCTGTAATTGAACGACTGCAACCGTCAATAGGCAAGACAATCATCCAAATCATGGCACTCAGGTTGTCATGCAGCACCAGATTCAATGTCAACTACAGCTTCTCCAGCCTGATTGAGACTCACATTCTGTCTGGGGACCCGAGCCATGTCCAACTGGTTGTCGTCATGCAGTTTTGTGCCTGTCATGGCGGCTGAATTGAATATCGCAAAGCCACACAACCTATTAATTATTGTTTCAGCTACCAGCAGTCAAACACAGCAAGAAGTCAAAGTGATGCCACTTTCGAACGACCATCTTTCAGGCCCTACTGACCTACAGAACTCTGACCTGACAATATCAAGCCTAACTCTGACCCTTTTGCTGTCAGGCGTGCCCCTATCACCAAAAGAAACGTCAGCCATTTAGGCTGACTTGCATAGATGAAATGGGCCCCCAACTCTCTGACATGCTCTTAGCTCGGCCACTGTGTGTGTGGGGCTGCTGTCAAGCCTAAATTCAGGCTGTCAAACCCAGGCCAATTATCTCAGGCAGTATCGGACTCAGTCAACCATCATGGCTTCCAACCTCGGGGCTGCCCATATGTCCATTCAATGAACCTGTGGGCCCGATCCCCTGGCGGTGGGGGAAAAGGCCAATAAGCAGGCCCTTGGGTCGTCGGAGTGTCTGATTGGGACCGATTACTGTCAGGCCCTTGGGACCAATTGTCAGGCCCTTGGGACCAATTGTCAAGTTCTTGGTGCCATTTGTCAGGCTCTTGGGACCATTGGTCATGCCCTTGAGGCCATTCGCCACTGTGCCATTCGTCATGCCCTTCGGACCAATTGTCTTGGGACCATGCACCTTGCGACCATGTACCAGTGCCATCATCACGCGGTACAAAGAAGCCTCCATGGTCAGTCGCCTGAGGTTTCGACAATGCTTGTCATCATCATCAAACTTTGCTTAGGGGCTAACATGTCACCCAAAGAGATGTGAGAGGCTGTTGAACTCTATTTCTGCCAAGTCTCAAAAGGCTGAGTTCTCCGCCATGGGTACTGGGCAGGATCTCCATAATGCTCCCAGCCCCACTGCTGACGATGATCCTGGTTGTAGTAAGAACCTGCTCAATGAGACATGGCCATGAACATCAATGACTGGCAGGTCAAAATTAACCTTAGCCTTTAAATAAATAAGAAATGAACAACAGCCATGATCATTGTCATTCAAGTCACTCTTCTGGGCAGATTGTCCCCATTCGCCCCATTCCTCCTCATCGTCGTCGTCTTCCTCAACGTCATGCCATGAAGCCTTCCCCTTGCCACCATCCTTCCCCTTGCCGCATTCTGATTCTTCATGGTCCGTTCCCTTGGCTTTAGACTTGAACTTGCCCTTGAAGTCATCCTTCCCCTTCTGGAAGTCATCCTTCCCCTTCCCCTTCTGGAAGTCATCCTTCCCCTTCTGAAAGTCATCCTTCCCCTTCCCCTTCTGGAAGTCAACCTTCCCCTTCATCTCCTTGCCACCATCCTTCCCCTTCTGGAAGTCATCCATCCCCTTGCCTTTGCCCTTTGAGTCAAATTCAAAACATCTCAAAACCAGGCTTGCCCTTTCCCTTGTCTTCTTCATAGTCCGTTTCCTTGCCCTTTCCCTTAGGCGCAGCCTTACCCTTGAAGTCGTCCTTCCCCTTCTGGAAATCATCCTTCCCCTGCCCCTTCATGCCCTTGAAGTCATCCTTGCTTTTGCCCTTTGAGTCAAGCTCATGCTTGCCCTTAGGTGCAGCCTTGCCCTTGGTGTCTGGGCTATCCCCCCCTTGCCCTTGGCCTTTGGGGTATCTCCCTCCGCATTGCCAGCCTTTCCTCCGTCCTTGATGTCAGTGTCAGGCTTGGTCTGAGCCTCCGTTTCTTCGGATTCCGGAATCACACCATCTGCAGGCGATGTTGGTGACACAATTTGAGGCCTCTCTTCTGGCAGGTCAGGCTCCTCCTCCTCCTCCTCCTCGCACGGAGCCGGCTCAGCCTGGTCAGGCTGTTCTTGATCGCCCTGATTCTCCCAAGCAGAAGCCTCCCACGCCGAGCAGGGTTGCTCTTGTTGTTCTTCCGCAGCTGAGGGAGAGTAGTCGTCAGGCGGGACCTTGAACTGCACTCTTTGTGTCTTGGTCGGGGCTTCCTGCCGACAGTCATGCTCACTCTGACTCTCCAATGAAGGCAAAGGTGGTGGGCTGTGAAGCACATGGTCAGACCGGGCATGCCAGGGATGCCTAACTTCAAAGACAAATGTTCCTCTCAGTTTTGGAGGGGTGACACACAAAGGAGCCTTGGGATACTTTTTGATGCAACGACCGAAGTCAGGCATCACCACCAAGGGCCCGCCGCCATCAGACACCAACCACCAATTCGAAAAAAACTCTTCACTAGGCGGTTGTCTGGGGTCAGTCGGCGTCGGCTCAGGGTCAGTCGGCATTGACTGCTGTTGAGGCACAGGTTCTGCAGAAGCGCCAGGGTCGTCAGGCCCGTCAGGCGGAGGCTGCCTGCGGCGCTTGGAGCTCGAGCCCCTGCGGTCATTCCTCGTCATGTAGTCAGGCACTGCTCCATAAGTCTTCTCCTTGCAACCTTAAGCAGCACGCTGACTCTGACAATTTGTCAGCTTGATTTTTATAATTAGTGGTTTTATCAGTCATATCACACATATTTGAAGTGAAGACAAAGCAATAATGTCAAAAGTGAACATTAAATTAAGCCGAGCAGCGCATGCGATACTCGTCACACCTTTCCCG